TCTCATTATCATGTTTTAAAAAGTACAATTTCCCAATTGTATATTTTCAGATGATTCATATTTTGTTACAAGTCTGACTGGAGTTCTTTGTCATTAGTGATGATTGAATGTTGCATTTTTTTAATCTGATGGTAAATATTATATTACTGTGTGCTGAAAATTGGGAAATCAGTCGAATTTTTTTCACTGCCTTCTTAAACCCACCAGCAGGGGGCAGTATCACATTGTAAAGAGACTGCCTCTGAGAGATCATGAATCATGATTACATTCATTTATTGCAGCTTATGGATAATTCACAGCCCATAGTTCAGGAAGGTCTTTGCTTTATTTTACTGAAATCATAATGGATTAAATACATTTTTAGCAAACAAAAGAATGAAAACATATCACCACTGATAAGCTTTTTCCCCTTTATTGGCTGCACTTTGATGTTTTTCTTTCTTTTAAAATGGGTTTTTCTAACAGAAACATCAATAAACTGTAAATATAACACTTTTAGTATCAGAAGCTATTATTGCCAGCTTAGTACACATGAATGACTTATAGATTGTTTTATTGTTTTGGCTGCATGTTTTTATTTTGACTTGTTGACATTTTGATTCATTTTAAAAATTTAAATATCTTTTTAAATTCTGTTTCAAACTCATGAGCATCACATTGTTTGAATGCTCTTTACCTCAGCTCATTGTGATTATCCTCAATTAGCTAATTGTAATTAGCTCTGTCACCACCTTGTGCTTGCTCAGAATGAGGGATTGCTTTAGAGACACATTTCTGCTGAATCTGCTGATTTCCTTTGTATAAATGTTTTTATTGCATTCAATTTGCATCTTGTAATATGCTGGATAGGACTGTAGCTTAATGTGCCTGTCATTTTTTGTAATAAATATGAATGCATTTTTTAGAAAGATAACATTAATGACATATTGCAAAAAAAATGTGTCACTGAGATGAACAGTTGTTGAAATATTTGCATGTGAAATAATAGGAAGTGATGTCGAAGGAGAATGGATGCTAGTGAACAGAGCGTTGTTACAATGGCTGACAACAAGAGAAGAATCTGATGTTTATTTAGATTATTTTGAGTCACTGTCAAAGAGATATGAAGACAAGTCTGAGTTTAAATAATATTGTTTCATAAAAAACGACTAGAGAATTGTTTTTCTTAAAGAGTTCCCCTTTGATGTCACTTCCTGTTTCACCATGGCTGGTCCAAGTTCAAAAGAAGATATGCCAGTTATTTGCTAACATGGGTAAAATCTTGTGTATCATGCTAACTTCCTAAATATAAAGAGGTTTTCTTTGACTTTTTGTGTTTGACAAATATGTCACAGGCACTTTAATTGGACTGAACACAAAATGGCTCAACTACAATATGCGTGGTAGTAACTGAGAGTCCTCCATAAGATCTAATCAGATTGTATGAAACCTTTGTTTAAATTTTATCATTATCTGTTAAAAACAGAGTCAACTCTTGTTGCATTGCATTATTACACAATTGGACAAACTTTAGAAGACACCTGTTATAAATAAACCAAATAAATCCATCCAAATCTCTAAAAGGGATTAAACGAGTCTCTGCTGAGTTCAACAGGAAAAGGCTTCTTGTTTGTGTGTACCTCTAACCACCCACACACCCCAACCGAAAGTCACCAACTGTCCCAAATCTCTGACAGGAAGGTCATGAGAAAACTGTAGGCTCATCGAGGAAAAAATGTTAGTCCCAAAGACTTCTTCTGTGAAGATTCACCCGTTTGAATCTCGTTAGTCTATCAGCTGGAGGCTCCTGGGAGACCATGCAGATCCGGTTTGCTTGTGAACGGCCACTCTTTACGTCACAAGGTCACAGTGCTTCATGTTCAACATTCCTTATGCTGCACATATAATAAAACATGCTGACGGATGGCTGAATACACAGGAGTCCGCTGTTGTTTGTTCTCAGCATCTTGTTTTTATTTAATTTGCTTCGGCTTCTTGTAACAGCCCAGGAAGTCTCGCCCTGTTAGACAAATATCATTGGAAGGGATGAGTTCTGACACTTTCTTGCTGTAATGAATTGGATCCCTGCAAAGACACATAAAAATCAGTAAATATATTATCTAAAGACACATACTGAAACGGAGAGTCATTTGATTCAACCACTAAAAAGAGCTGGTTAAAAATGATTACAGTCTAACATTTTTAAAACAACAAAATGCTATGAAATACTGTTTTAACTGGTTCAGAGCAGAAACGCCTGAAGCTACCTTCTCAAAGCTTTTAGTGCTGCTCTTTGGAGCTGCTAGTGTCTCAGGACCCATGGAGCCATAGTTTATTCATGCACTATGTTCAAATAGTGGTGTAAAGTGTAGACATAGACTAATGAATAGACCGATGGTTGTGCTTGTTCTCAGGTTTTAACACCAAATGTTTACAAACAGCACTGAACAGATGATGCCCCTAATCATCAGCAATGATGCTTCGTTAAGTTACTCAACACCAGCTAAATATCCACATATCAGTGCTAGTTTCTATTTAGAGCTTAAAATCCTTGTCTTTCATCTAACCAGTGCTTTGTTGTTGATCTCTCCATACTAAAACTTGGATGGTGCTTTTTTTAAACACAACATCTAAATCCTGCTTTATTTCACTGATGGATCCAAAAAGACAGAAAACGTAATCAGGTATAAATACACAGCCAGTGATTGTTTTCTAACAGTTTTGTTAAATTATGTTCAGTGGTTTATGAGATATTTTGTCTAACAGACAGACAGTCAGTAGTTAAAGGCAAAGTTTTAAAAATAGATCTTGCTTTCTCAGTTAGAGCTTAGAATATCTGCTGGGGATGAGCATCAGCTGACTATTTGAGCTTAGTGTCTGTAAAACTGGGACAATTTTAGCCATTTTTGTGTTTGATAGTTGTTTGGCTGTGGTGGCCATCTTGCACAGGATTGACTCCAAAAGCCAACCAGTTCTAGATGTTCATCCAATAATTACTTTCTAAGAGTTTCTTTCAAATTTTTGAGATATTTTGCTGATGGTGCAGATGAACTAAACGCACCCATTATGGTGGGTAATAATAAAAATAAAATTATTGACACACCGTCTTGAAAAAAAAGCAAACAACACAAAGTAAAAGAAAACAGGATTTAACTTTGTCTAATTCAAAGTGTTTATTTGAACTAAATAAAACTAATAGGTGATTTTTGTTGCATTGATTCATAGGTAATTTAGATCTCATCAAAGACATTTATGCTCATAATCTTTCTATATGTGTATAAATTGAACTTCTAAGTTATATAGTATCATTTGGACACTGACTGAATGAAAAATCCTGTGAAATGAAATGAAGGAGAATGTGAACAATGCACAGATCTCTCACCAAGACTAGAGATGTGAAGATCGATACTGAAATATCGACTACCGATGCCAGAACTTTGTGTTCTAGAATCGATACTAAAATCAAAATATTAATACTTTGATACTTTAGTTATTTCACATAATGTATATCATTAACAAGAAAATAATGGAAAATAACTAAACTATTCAAATCTTGTCTAAATTATGTGGTTGGAGGGAACTACTTTTTCTTCCGCTTGGGTAATGCAAAAGTACAGTGGCACGTGCTCAGTCACTCAGTCTGTAGAAGTATGGCAGGTCATTTTAACAAAAAAATTGCTTCATCTGACTGTCTGTTATTACACTCTAGATGAGGGGATTCCCAAACGTTTTCATGCCATGCCCCCCCAAACAGCATTAGCTATGGCCAAGGACTTTCTTGCAAACCCACAATGCTACAAAATATAAAGTAACAACTTTTGAAATATTTTTCTCACTTTTATTCAGAGTTGTAAAGTAACTAAGTACAAATACTTCTTCACTGTACTTAAATAGAATTTTTGGGTATCTGTACTTTACTTGAGTAATTATTTTTCAGCCTACTTTTTACTTCTACTCCTTAAATTTTCACACAGTAATTTCTACACCTTACATTTTTAAGAAGTCGAGAAAAATAAAGTCATTGCTTTAATTTCATTTTGCTTGTTTTTATTCCAGCTTGTTATTATAAAAAAAATAAATACTATCCATATAAACTGTGCCTCCTAGATAGAGTGAATTTAATTGTGGTTGAATGAGAAGTATAAATATATAAAACTCTATTAGTTTGTACACAAACAACCCATGTCACACTCCAGCAGGACATAATTATCAAAACAAAAGGACTGTACTTATGAAATATTTGTATTTCATGAATTATATTATTGCATTTGGCCACAGCCCTCAGATAGATTTTCATTTTGGGGAAAAGGTTTGGGCAGACTTGTTAAATGTATATAAACTGAAACAGCTAGACTAGTGCATCCTAAATTTAACATAATTATTTTAATACAATATAGTCATTTCTGCATTTTTTTGGGAGGTCACCTCCTAATAAATGTCCTTACAGAAAATCTTAACTGTTCATTTTAAATCAGTACTTTTAATACTTAAGTACAAAAAGTATCAGATACTTTAATACTTTTACTTAAGTAATATTCCTAAAGGAGACTTTAACTTTTACCAAAGTAATTTTTTGATAAGATAATTGTACTCTTACTCATGTATCACTTTGTGGTACTTTATACAACACTGCTTTTATTCACTATTCAAAAAATATCATATTTCTTTAGAATAAGAATTTTAAATTGTGCTAAACAAATGTGGGGTTAAAAAGACCTTTCAATTAATAAATAAATTACTATATCATGTATTATTTATAAAGCACTTATTTGAAAAACACTACTTTTTAAGATTTACCAGACACATTGTGTGTTATCACAAAGTAGCAGTATTGGATCAGTATAGCTAATACCAGACAAATTTTACTTAGTGTCAGTATCAGAAAGAAAATTGGCAGTGTCAAACATCACTATTAAAGACTTCCTCAAACACACACTTTCCTCCTCCCTCTACTCCTTCCTCCTGCTCCTCCTCCTCCTCTGTGGAGCCACTACTGCACACAGACTGAGTGTGGCTGCCTCACCAGCAGGATGACTAGAGGAGCTGGGAGTGTGTACGTAGCAGTGTGTGCCTCTGTGTGTGTGCTTCAGCTGTGACAGTGGTCCCCATGTGTGTCTCTGCTGACCGCCACAGTCCTCCTTCCCACAGGGGAGACTTTCTCAGAATGCAAATGGCGTGAGTGGTCAAGAGCAGGGGAGGGAGGAAGTTTGTCAGCAGCACGTCCGAGCCTTGGAGAACTCAATCCACTCTGCACGCTCTGAGTCCATCCAGGAGGGGAGAACCAGCAGTAGCAGCTTCACACTGAGGATTTGTGTTTTTGTTGATTGACTGCAGGTCAGAGGAGTGGAGACGTTTGCAGTGCATCAGAGCTGAAGGTTCCTGGCTGAATATAAGGTGGGCGTGAAACTTATACTGTTGTTCAAATGTGAACTTATGTCTGATTGTTCACACTTTGAGTTGTCATGTGAAAATGTTTATTCAAAAAGCAAATGAGAGAGACACAATAACAAGTGCAATTATGTAACCTTGAAGGTGATTTTGTGCCAAAATGCAACACTTTTTGTTCAACTGAGGCATGTATTTGTGTGTATTTTTGATCACTTTAACCCTTTTAAAATAATGATACAATTCTGACGCAGATTCATCTTATTAAAATCCATGACACTTGTGGCTTCAGTAGACTGTTACATCAGAATGTCATTTTCCCAACAGCTCCCATGTAATTCTGATGCATTTCACAGAAACAATGGAACTGATTTTGTTTGCTTTCCTTCTGTTTGGCTCTTTTGTAGTCAAACAAACTAAAACTCAATTATCTCTGGATTACTGCTGATGCATGGGCCAGGACTGCCAATGATCACAGATAATCCGAACAGGAAAAAAGCAGGAGAAAAAGGAAATGAGCTGGAACTAAAATGTCACAGAGCATTAACATAAAAGTACATTTGCTGCTTGTGTCTCTCCGGCCCTGGTGTTTTAACGGAATGGAAAGACGTGAAAAGCAAGTGGAGTGTGAGCTGAGGTAAAACCAGGGATGATGACCCTCCTGTGCCAAGAATGTCTGTAGCACCCGGGCTGTGCTGCTGGAAAGCCCAGGGATCAGGTTCCCCGTGTCAGCTGCTGCACTCCTCTGTTCCCTGATCTAACTTTGAGATATCTGTTTATTCAGAGAGGGGGGACAAAAAGAGGAGGGGGTGGGTGGATTGGAGCTGCTGCAAAAAACTGGTGTTCCGATTGGTTTGAAACATACAATGTTTAGAGACCAAAGTTTGACAGTTTGAGAAAGAAGCTGCAAGAGAAAACGGATTGCTTAGACATAAACAGCTTGTTTCAACAATCATCCAAGAAAACTACCAAATTAGCAAATGTTTAGGGAAGAGTTACAAACAAGTTAGTAATCTACAGTGTCTGATATAACAGAGGCATGTCACCTAAGTTTAGCAAGAAAATATATAATATTCAATTCAGTTCAGTTTATGTATAGCACCAAGTCACAGCACTGTGGTGTCAGGGCACTGTACAAAAACAATCAATTTAAGGAAGCCAGCAGGTTGCATTAATCTTCCCCTCACACAGTCTCCCATCCTGAGCAGTACATTGGCAGCAGTGGAGATGAAAAACTCCCTTTTAACAGGAAGAAAACCTCCAGCAGAACCAGAACCAGGCTCAGGACCGGCTGGGTTTAGGAGGACAGGAAAGAGAAACAGAAGAATTGGTCATGTGTCATCGTCCACAGCAAACACATAGGAGTGAGGATATGTGCTCAGTTTGTCCTCCAGCGGTCTAAGCCTATGGCAGCAGAACTAAGGAATAAAACCTAAGCCTAACTATAGGATTTATCAAAAAGGAAAGTTTTCAGTTTAGCTTTAAAAGCAGACAGAGTGTCAGCCTCACGGACAGAAACTTGAAGCTGGTTCCACAAGAGAGGAGCTTAATAACTAAAAGCTCTGCCTCCCACTCTACATTTAGAAACTCAAGGAACCACAAGTAAATCTGCAGTCTGCCAGGATGAAAATATGGAATATAAAACAGAGCTTGATTGCTGAGAGCACTGTGTGTTAGAAGTAAAATTTTAAATTCTATTCATTTTGTATTTATTTTTCTATTTCTGAAACATTAAGTCAATGGAGAAACCAGCATAACAACATTTGTGTGGACCAGCTCTGGCCCACAGTGCAGGTTAGGGTTAACTCCACTCATATGCAGCAAAGAGTGACGACACTGGTGGCCCAGATGTGGTTTAGCAAAGGTAACAAAGATCCATGCATGGGCCAACACCACATAAACCAAACCACAACTGGGCCAGATGTGGCATGCCATCTTAAAAACACCTCTTTGACAAACCACTTGCCATGCCAGCAGTCAGCCAGCTGCACCAGCGTTGTCACCAGATCTGGTCCACACCTGTGCGAAGGTTAAATACTTGAATTTTTTGCATAATTTATATTAAATCTTAATTTTTGAAAATGGATGGGATGTTTGGAAAAGTCATTTAATAACTTCATAAATATGTCTGCAACATCGTTCTGAATTTGGAATTTGCAAACAAAAGTTGACATTGCTGCTACCATCTCAGGATTTTGTGAGCTTCTGGTGTTGGTTCTGTGCTAAAGTGTTGTTCAGTTTTGTTGCCATTCTGATCAAATCTGTTGTCTGCACCACCTGTCACCCAATCAGCATTTGACTCAAAGAGGCTACTCTCTGTTAAGACTCAGCTCTCCTCTGCACTGAAGCTTTTTACAGCTAAACTCTAGTTGTCGAGAGCTTTTTCTTTTCCTGCAAAATATCTTCCGTTGCACCCCGTGAACTGTTGTCTGCAGCAAACAGGCACGCCGAACTGCAAAGCGAAGGGGTGAAAGCACACGGAGCCCATAAAGAGAACATGCACAAATAAAACGAAGACGATCGAGCTGCGGCTTAGAAACTCAGACGGCGCTGGAAGCAGACACATGGAACAGAATGAGCGGGTCTACGATGTTGAGAAAAGTAGGCAGAAACAAGAAGACAGACGAAAGGACTTTGTCTTCTTTGTGATCAAACTAGTTGCTGTAGACCCCTCTCAGCATGCTCGTCTTTATTCAATCATGCGTTTAATCATGTGCTCTGCTTTTACAAGCACGGCATGCAAATCTGTCCAATCCTTCACTTTGATGAGGGCTGGAGTGCAGATTAACACCTGTTTCAGTTCCACTCTGCAAGTCTTGTTTTATAAGAAAATAGCCGCTTCTCTTCTAGATATGATTAAAACACAAAGCGAGCTCAGCTTCCTCCTTTAAAAAAAACACTGTGATCAACAAGTCCCCGTTTGTTTTTCCCCACACTCTGACCACGCAGCGTCTTGCACAACCTCGGGTTTTGCCTGAGAGATATTCTCATGGGTTCACCAGTGCTCATCAGCAGTGTCTTTCTTTCGGTTGTAACGGTGAACACGTGTAGAGTGAGTCAGCCGGGAAAAGAAGAAGTCTTGCCTGTTGCTCACATCTCAGACACGCTGTGGCAAACGGCGCCGGAGGAAAATGGGAAAGGGAGAGCCGTGGATGCCAGCAGCGGGGAGAATGAGTGTGCATTGGGGGGTTTTAAGAGGGAACATCTGAGCTGGTGTGTAAACGAAACAGTGACTCAACAAGCAGCATTTTAAAACCAGAGGACATTATATCCATGAATCAGTCCTTCTGTGTTTGATATTAACCACCTCTCCTCCTTTCATCTCGGCCCGTTTCATCCATCCGTCGTCTTTATTGACTCTCGGTGAGCTCTGTGGGCAGTGACGGATGGGGAACCTGTCTCTAAGAGCCTGACCTCCCTTTAACGTCAGCCTGTGTTAAATCACAACAGACCTGAATTATGTGTGTGCCGGATGATGCGCCGTATTTTTTTTTTTAAATGTGAGCAAGTGTTTCCATCTGTGGCTGCTTTTCAACTCCTTCCTGTTTCACATCCCCTCCAGCTAACACAACGACAGCGCAGCGAGGAAGTTGCTCTCCTCTCACCTCAGTGTCTTTACAGCAGAGGTGGAACAGTGACAGACTCAGCTCACAGAGGCGGCCGAGGTTTATATTTGTCTTCGACACATGCGGTTGGAGGCCCTGTGCTGCGCCAACTGTATAAAGGGGAAGTTACTCGGGGATATTTAAGGGGCTGACAGTACTGACTGACGACGTGAAGACCATGTTTCCGCTCTTGTTTTTACAGTTGTTCGAGCCGTTATAGTAAGACGTGGGCACTTTCTCAAATGTTCAGCTGGTCAGTTGGCTGGTAAAATGGCAGACTCTATAGGTTAAAACAGTAGGACATATGCCAAATCCACTGTTTAAGCTGGTAAATACATTTTGTTGTGTACTTGGAGTCTCTGGGAAAGCAGAACATTTTAATTTGGTGTCTCCAGGTGATGCAAATAAATCTTTATATTCTGTTTCAGTCATATTTTTCAATCCGTTCAGGTTTCTTTATTTTCTATGATGTTTTCTGAAATGTTGCATCACAGTTTTTGAGATGGAACTTCTAAATTATGGAAGCGATTGTGTTCCATAATCCTAATTAAAATGGATTAATAGAAATGCTGTTTCATTTTCAACATGTACCTGATTTTTTTGACTCATAAGTAAAATTATAAATACATAATCCAAACTGTATG